CCTCCCCCACATGTAAAGTTACCAGTTTATTTTCCCAATGGTATTAAACAAACTACTTTCATTTCAAAGCTAAGGAAAGACCCAAGATATTTCAGCAATACAAATGAATTTAAAATCCCATATGAGAATATGCCAACCCATCATCACTTTGCTTCCAATGGTATTGGTATTATATAAAGGGAAAACAAGATTTTTGACCTACTCAACAGAAAAGTCCCCACTAGATACTGCAACTTTCCCAACCTAAGACAGACAGACACACACACACACACACACACACACACGTGAGAGAGAGAGAATTTTAAGGCGCCCTAAGTCAGAATTTCCTTCTGCTTCTCCTTTGACAAAAGCAATCATCCTTAATGAGAAAGATCTTCCTTGACTGCCAAACATTTGTTAGTTAGGGATTGCCAGGGAAATTAATTCAATTGTTACCAAAATTAGGAAATCTGTAGCTGTGTCCCACTTCTAGGGGAGGTGTCTTATTTTTCAATGCCAAGAATTCATTTGTAAATTATTGTGAAAATGTAAACTAGTAATTTGCACATTAAAGATAACTACAGTATTGTTTCTAATTCACAGATAAAAGTCATTTTAAAGTGATTTCTAATTGCAGGAGGAGTCTTCAGTTTGGAGCAACAAAGCAACAAAACAATTCAGAAATCTAAACTTAGAAACTTCACACATGGATCAATTAACTATTAACACAAATACATGAGTCTCCAGATCTCTTCTAGTATCTCTCCCGCAGGAAAAGGCAATCACAAAAGGCACTTAGCAAGACAAACTCTGGATAAAAAGCAATTATCTGAATTAGGTCCAGACTAACAGGTTGTTAAAAGTGACTAATACTCAATAAATGAGAAATGAGCTCCCACTACATAGCTCAATATTTGAGAAACTGATGAATTAAAAAGGCAGGATGCTAAACAAAGAAGCTGGGAAATTCCTCTTTTTTATTCTGTAAAATATGTATTACCTCTTCTCCAGAGTTGCCAGATACAACATTTACCCAAAACCCCAATGATTATTCCATTATTTCCTAATCAAATTCCAATTGAAAGAAGTTTCCCAAACTTTAAATGAAATCAATATGAATCACCACACAGAAGTGAAAAGGCGAGTATGACTCTGAGGTGGGAAGGGGATGGGTTGAATATTTAGAATGAATAACAGACCAGATTTATGTGTCAAGGAAAAATGAGTAAGTTATAAATTTTGGTTCGGAGGAAAAAGGTACAGAAGTAACAGGAGCAATACACAAATAAAACCAAGTAACTATTATTACTGACTTACTCTGTAGATGGCACTGTGCTGAATGACATGCATGTATTGTTTTATTTGCCCCCCAAAACCCAAAGGGGACTGTTATTAGTCTTCCTTTTCATATGGGGGAAACTGAGGCTTGGAGAACCTAAGAAAGTTAACCAAAGATACACAAAAGAACACAAAAGATGAATAAAAAAGAACCTAGAATTAGAAAAGTGCAGACTTGTTCACTCAATTCCAACATATCATGGAGAAGAAACTAAAACCTTGAAGAGATTAAGAAATATTAAATATTCCCCAGTGTCACCTGAGTGGAGAGAGCTAGAAGTCAGATAGCCAATTTGTTTTCATTTCAACTTACAAAACCTTACATTCGTTTCCTAATGAGAGTTTATTTAACATTTAGGTGTTCCAATTAACAATAACTTAAAATGTTTTCCAAGAAACTAGGAACAGAAACAAGTAGGTGATGTACACATACATACTTTTAATAACAAAATATCTTATATTTTACCATGGTTTTTTTTATGATGTTATGTTACTTTTAAAGAGAAAAAGGCACCTCAGTGAAGTAATTCATACTGTAATCTCCTAGTTATAGGCCTGGAAGGCCTCAAGAAATTTAAGACTAAAGAAAATTAGGGCTAAAGGCAACGTTACTTTTTTTTTTTTTTTAAGATTTATTTATTCATGCATACAAGAACCAGGGTACAGGCCAGATGAGCCAGAGGGTGAGAGAATTCACCAGAGACAGAGAGAGGAGCAGAACAGGCAGATCTACTGAAATACACTGCTGAGGGGAGCAGTGGGCGAGACAGGAGCGGTCTGCCGTGCCGCATGGGATTCTCTCTAGCCCGCCGGGATCGAACCCACGCTGCAGAGGCTGCAGACAGCTTCACAGTGCTGCGCTCAACCACCTGCGCCACCAGGAGAGGCCCAGCAACATTGCTTTTAAGTTCACCATTCCAAAATTTAGTTTTTTTCTTCTCAAGATCACATAATAGAAAAATATATACTACTTAACACTATAAAAACGGTATCATTTTAGTAGTCTTAATAAATAAAACCAATTTGTGCCACCCTGATCTACACTGCGAACTGACTTCCACTTGTTAAGATGATTATGCCTCTTCCATCTCCTCTCCTTCCAATTACTACTGCTAGACAATCACAGCAGAATGAATTTTAATTTCCCAGGAGTCAGACAATAAATAGCTCAATTAAATGTAGATGATAAATAGTAACTTTCACGCTATAATCTAAGATTAGTATAATAATGACAACAATGATGTCTATAGCCTTACTATGCAGTGGACATTCATTCTAAGCCCTTGATATATGTTAATTCACTTAACTTCCACAGCAACACTATATGGCACTTTGTATTTCCCCAGTTTACAGATGGGGAAAGCTGAGTTACCCAGAGCTTTAATTTGCCTAAGATTATACAAGCAACAAGTGGCAGATCTTAGCTTCCATCCAGATGGTCTGGACCCTGCCTCCCCACAAAATCTCCTAAAGTCAGAACCTTTCAGTAGCCCCAAACCAGCTGCCCATGCCACTGCCTCACTTGCCTGCCTCAGGTTGGCATAAGACTGCCCATTCTCATATATGGTATGTCGTCTCTCCCACCACCAAATCTACAACCAGTACATATTTATAAATCTTTTCCTGAGTCTGAACTACGTGTACATTGAAATGTATCACAGAGCTTTACATATACCCACATAATAGTAGCCATCATAAACTGCAATTACATGACAGATACTAATCTAAGAACATTCCCACAATTTAAAGGGTTATAAAGAATGCATGACCATTCCCACTTTACTGAAGAGAAAACTGAGGATCAGAAGATAAATCTTTTTTGGCAATGTTCTCACAGCCAATAAATGACAGTAGTGTAGGTACTCAAATGTCATGACTCAAAACTCACACCTCTCCATATTTATATGTATACGTGCCTCATTTACTTCTTTATATCATCTAGAGCACGTAATACATACAGTACTACTCATAAAATACTACTCATAAACTATTAACAAGGGAATTCTAGCAAGTCATTGGGAAGAAAGCAATTACTGTTATCTTAGTGGTTTCTAGTATTATTTCCTAAAAAAAAGTTCCAAAATCTTAACTTAGAGATTCAAATACATTCAGATGGCTCCTCTTCCTGAAAAAAATAAAGTAGTTGTGACTTAAACCTTTCAGAAACTTTATTACCTGGAACCCAGGATCAATCTTTCACTCCTCACCTCCATACTAACTACAAGTCTCCGAAGAGTTAGCTATAAATTGTTTGCCTTTGTCATCAGTAAAAGCTTCTACTGGTTCTAAGGAAATAGCAACATGACAGCATCCTTGATTCTGCAGCCTGCTTAACTTAAACTAATCTCACCTCTTAGGCAGTGTGATTTTTTTAACCCACTAATGAGCATACTGTAAATGCTCATTATATAAACACCTTCTCTTCCTGGAGACAAAGGTTTTAGCAGCAGTTTTTAATCCCCTGAAATACTGTAACAGCAATTATTGCTCACTTAGTCAATATGCAAGCTAACAACCACATGCATGTTTCAGTACTCTGTATTTTAATGTCGCTATATAGGTCAAGTGAAATGAAATAAGTCCTTCAAGTATCCCAGTTGCTACCAAATGGGTAGAACGGAAGCCAGAAATAAATATTTCACCAAAGCATCTTAAGAGTACTCCTGATACACTAACAATGTCTTTGTTACCTATTAAAAGGGGGTACCTTCTTTCTCTTTCCAACATATGCCACACCTTTCAGGTTGACAAAAACAGAAAAATATCTGGGTTTCTTTTTTTAAACCCCCCCCCAAAGGCTCACTCAACCCTCTTATCAAGCGTAAATCCAAAGAACGAAGAATTCCACCTCCCTTACCAAACCCCTGACTTTCCAAGCCTTCAGCAGCCAGGAAGGTTGGGGGCTGGAGTGAGGGTAATAAGAACACACTTCACAACGTCTGCCTAGGTCGGTCATCTCCTAGCCTGGCCCATTCCAAACTTCACCTTGGCACAGCGAGCAGCAGGAAGGCACCAGGAATTCCTAGGAAATGGTGTCAACCTTATTGGAGAACATTCTTAACTTCCTCGAAGCCAACATTTCCCTGGGGTATCATCACACACTCCCACCCGGACACATTACCTAAGCGATCACTTAAAAGCAAAGCACACACACACACACAAAGAGAACGCACGGCTCCGCGCGGGCACCCCTGGCTCTGCGTGCGCGCAGGAGCCCGCAGACCACGCGGACGGGCGGCCAAGTTGGCACCGCGGCGGCCCCGGCAGCGCGGGGAGGCCGGGGCGGCTGCAAACCTCGAGCCGGGGGCTCCAGCGCGGGCCAGACACCCAGGCCCTCGGGGCAGGAAGCCCGGCGCTGCGGCGCAGCCTCTCCCGAGGGCTCGGCCGCCGGCCGGAGCGATAAGGTGGATCTGCGCTTCCCACCCGGCGTGCTCCGCCCTCCGGCCACATTCCTGAGAAGCCCGACTCCGGGGACGCGAGCCGGGCGCCCCGCGGGCAGGAGCGCGACGCCGCCGGGCAGCAGCGCGGAGCCCCGCGGCGCCCCCGGTGCGCCCCCGGTGCGCCCCCGGCGCGCCCCCGGCCCGCGCGGCGCCTCCGGGGCGGGGTGGCCGGCCGCCCCGCCACAGGTAGCCCGACCCCCGCCCGCCGCCGCCCCGGCGCCCCCGGCAGGCCCGCCCAGGCACCTGGATGAACTGGATGGTGAGCGCCGACTTGCCCACGCCGCCCCCGCCGACCACCACGAGCCGGTACTTCTCCTGCCCGGAGCCGTCCCGCCACCCCGCCGCGGCCATGGGGACGCCGCCGAGCCCGGCCCGGCCACGCCGAGCCGCCGCCCGCCCTAGGCCCGGCTCGGGAGACGTGCGCGGCCGGCGGGCTGCGGGCGAGCGGCCGGGCGGGGGTCCCGCGGGCCGGGAGCTGCCGGGGCGGCCGGGGCGCGCGGCAGCGCGGCGCCGGGGCTGGCCGGGTCCCGCCCGACGCGCGACGAAGCCTGGCGACCGCGGGGGCCGGGGGCGGCTGCGGCCGGGGGTCGCGCTCCTCTACACGGCCCCGCAGCGCCTGCCGAGCGCAGCCTCCAGCGCTGCTACAAATGGCCGTCTGGGGGCCGGGCTGCGAGGCTGGGGCGCTGCATATGCATGAGGGGGCGGGGCCGGGCGGGGCCGCGCGGGCCCGGGCTGAGATTCTGAAGCTGACCCAGGGCCCAGACCCCCGCGAAGGAGCCCCTCCAATCCCTGGACGGGGAGGGTGTGGGGGGGAGGGTGTGTTTGTGTGCGCCAGAAAGGGCGTGGAAGTAAGTCGGTGTCAAGTGGGAGTGGGAAAAGACAGTAGACACAGTGTGACCATAATTGTGTGTGTCAGGGCTTGTGAATGACTGTGTAGATGAAAAATGCAGTATGTGAGAGCATGTGTGAAAAATAGAGCTGTAGTCGTCTTCACTCAATTTGTAGGAGAGTAGAGATCCTGTTTTAAGAGTACAGATGGTGACCATGATTGTGTGAAAAGCAGTGTGTGACAGTGATTGAGGACTGGAGATGTGTCTCGATAATTGTGTGTGATGGGCTTGTGGTAATGGTGGCGTGTGAAGAATGTGACAGAGACTGAGCATGGGGAATAAGTCCCAATGATTGAGGGTGTGTGGACAAGAGTGAATGTGACGGATTTTGCATATGTCAGGAGAGTATCTTGGTTGGTTGGGTGTGTGTGAGAAATGTGGTCGTTATATATAAGGAGTGACTGTGAGGGATGAGCTTGTATTTATTTACATCTGTATACCAGGCACTGTGCTCTGTGCTCCACAGCATTTTGTGAACAAATAAAGTCCCTGCCCTCAGGGTACCTAGAGTACATGAAGACAGCCAGGACAACAGGTGAATTATAAGATATAATCTCGTAAGGGCTGTAACTACTAAACACCATGTAGCGTGTGTGCCCATAGAAAAACCATTTACCCCTTGGTCAGGGATGGCTTCCTCAAGACCTGAAGAGTAAAAAAATCTAGACAGATAAGTAGAAGAAAACCATTTGAAGGAAGGGAGGCTGCATGTGCAAAAAATCAGAACCAAGAAAGAAAGAATGGTGTTCATAGTTTTGAACGTGTTCTGTGAGTTTGCATGCCAGTGACTGTAAATTATCTGTATGCAAATGTAGCAGAAATGGAAGTTTATATAGAAGCAATGGAGATTAATAGTTATGGCCACAGTCTCTAGTATCAGACTGGATTCAAATCTTGGGTCTTCCACTGTGGAATTATGCTGGGAAGTCATCCTCTGTCTCTGATTTCTCTTTACTAAAGTAAGAACAGGGGCCTCCCTGGTGGCACAAGGGGTTAAGTTGCAACCTGTGAAGCTAGCCACAGCCACTGTAGCACGAGTTAGATACCCAGCCAGGGAGCTACCCACATGGCGCAGCAGACCTCTCCTGACTCGCCCGCTGTTCCCCTCAGCAATGTATTTCTGTCAATCTTCCTGTTCTGTTTCCCCGCTCTGTCTCTGGTGAATCCTCTCACCCCCCACACTTCTGGCCTGTACCCCAGTTCTTGTATGCATAAATAGATAAATCTTTAAAAAAAAAAAGTAAGAACAGTAAGACTACCTATTTCATGGTTGAGGGGAGGGTGGAGTTGTTAATAAATATCAAATTAGTTAATACATATAAGGCACATAAAACAGTGCCTGGAATATGGTAAACATTTATAGCAGTTTTATAATATAACTGAAAGTTCTTAGACATAACTTAGTGACTATTGGAATCACTAGAATGCAGCAAAAGAGATGCTATATAACTTCCAAGACTAGGTCATTCTTATGGTCTTGCAACTGCCATCTGTTCTCTTGGGATTCTCACATTGGAAGAAACAAAGTAAAAATCTGGCTACCCCAAGACTGCCATGCTAGAGAGGCCACATGTAAGCATGCCAGTCAGAAGTCCAGCTGAGCTCCCAGTCCACTGCCCCCCAACAACTAACAGCCATGGGAGACCTTCCGACACCCAGCTCCATAGAGCCTCAGATGACTGCAGCCCCTGCTGGCATCTGACTGCAACTGCATAAAAGACCCCAAGCAAGAGGAGCCCAGAGCAGCCCTTCCTGACCCACAAAAATCATGAGCAAAATAAAATGTCAACTGGGTGTGCTTTTTAAATGTTATTTGGGAATGGTTTCAATTTTCAAGTGTAAAGAATACCAACACATCTTTACCCAAATTCAACTATTATGAACATTTTGCTCCACTGCTTTGTCATTATCCTCTCTGTGTCTCTCTCATATATATATATATATATATATATATATAATTCATATATATAATATATAATATACATAAATAATTCATAAATACATGAATTTTTTAATCATTAAAATTAAGTTACCTACATTATAAGTCTTTTATCCCTAAATGTTTCAGTGTATACTCCTAAGAATAGAGATATTAGCTCACGTAACCTCAGCAGTTATCAACTTCAATAAATTGAACATTGATATGAATACTTGCATCTAATCTACTGTCCATATTCCGGTTTTGTCAGCTAAATCAATAATGTGTTTTAGAGTCTCCCTGGTGGCCTAGGGATTAAGTCTCAGCTCTATCACTACTATATCCTGAGTTTGATCCCTGGCCAGGGAGCTAACCCACAGGGTGCAGTAGACCTCTCCTGTCTTGCCCACTGCTCCCCTTAGCAGTGTACTTCAGTAAATGTGCCTGCTTTGCTCCCCACTCTGTCTCTGATGAGGCCTCTCACCCCCTGCACCTCTAGCTTATACCCAGTTCTTCTATGCAAAAATAAATTTTAAATGAAATCTTTTAAAAAATAATAGTAGTGTGTTTTAGAACACTTTTCTCTTCTTGCAAAAGGTCCAGCCTAGGGTCAGGCACTGCATTTAGTTGTCAGATCTCTTTAGCTTTTTTTAATAAAATGATTACTTTAAGCAGCTATTACACAGTAATAGTAGCCAAAAAAAAAAAAAAAAGCGCACAGTGACAGATATTACTACCAATGCAAAAAGGAAGAGAAAAGACTAGAAAGTGGAAAGGAACCCAGGTCAAGAAAGGGCTGAGGGGGCCTCCCCGATGGCGCAGCGGGTTGAGCGCTGTGCTGTGAAAATATCCGCAGCCTCTACAGCACAGGTTTGATTCCCGGCCTGCCAGGGAGATAGCCACATGACGTGGCAGACCTCTCCTGCCTCACCCACTGCTCCCCTCAGCAGTGTCTTAGGTCCTTCTGCCTGTTCTGTTCCCTCTCTCTCTGGTGAAGTCTCTCACCCTCCCGCCTCTGACCTGTACCCCAGTTCTTGCATAAATAAATAAAACTTAAAAAAAAAAGGGCAGAGGAAGGGCCAATTATTCTTCCCACAAAAGCCTCTCAGTATCCAGCCCTGAAATTTCCCATAATTCTTCAGGGCCAAGATGACCAGAGTCCTCCTTATGCGTCTTCCTTTCTAAAGCTCAATCTTAAATCTTTCTTTCAAGAAGATATGAAAATCAGAAAATTTTACCAAACTTCAAAAATACCCAAAAGAAAACAGCTACTCCCTGAAGAAAAAAGCAACTCTACCAGTCACAACTATTTAAACTGAGGGAAACCAGGTACTGGTCCTAATAAAATTGTAAAGAATTCTTCAGTGACTCAGGATCTGACAGAGGAGCACTCAGAGTATTCTGGACCTCATGATCATTCGACCAGATGATAGTAAAAGAAAAAGAGGAGGAGGCTATAATAAATATAAGTTGGCAAGCTTGTATGTGCCCAGTGACTACAGTTTTCAAGGGGAAGCCTATTTTCAGTAGAACCTATTTCAATAACCTGTTTGCTGAGTTTCTTTCCCTGAAACTTAATCAAGATTTCCTGTCCTTCCTACTCTGTACTACTACAATCCCTATATACAAGACAATTCCAACACTGAAACCAAGCAAGCAAACCCATCCTGTAGAAAATATATAGAGAGGGCCTCCCCAGTGACACAGCAGTTCAGCGCTGGGTTGCGAAGCTGCCCGCAGCCTCTGCAGCACCGGTTCTATCCCCGGCCACCAGGCAAGGGTCCCACATGGTGTGCAGACCTCCCCTGCTGCCCGCTGCTCCCCTCAGTAGTGTACTTCGTCAATCTGCCTGTTCTCTTCTCCGCTCCGGCACTGGTGAATTCTCTCACCCTCCCGTGCTGCTGACTGTACCCAGTGCTTGTATAAATATAAAATAAATAAATAAATCTTTAAAAAAAAAAAGTTAAAAAAAAAGAAAATATATATTGAATCATTGCCTCCCAAGCATCTATTTCTCCTTCCCTCCCAGCTTCAGCAATTCACTATAATTCACCTAACATTATCAACCACCGCTGGCCACAGTAATTACTTGAATGATGGGTATGTGACCAAGGCAGGCCAAAGAGGAACAGACTCATCTGGCAAAATCAAAACTACAATGAGATATCACTTCACATCCACTGGGATAACTATAATCAAAAAGGCTGAAAATAACAAATGTAGGCAAGGATGTAAAGAAATTGGAATCCCCATACACTGCTTGTAGGAATGTTAAATGGTGCAGCTGCTTTAGAAAACAGTCTGACATTTCCTCAAAAGATTAACAGAGTTATAATACAACCCAGAAATTTTATACCTAAGTATAGGTATACCCAAGATAAATTAAAACATGTTCTTACAAAAACTTGTACTTGCAAATTCACAGTAGCATTAATAATAACAGTCAAAAAGTGGAAACAACCCAATTGTCCAACAACTGATGAACAGATAAACAAAATGTATTATATTCATACATGAAATATTATTTGGCAATAAAAGGAGATGAAGTACTGACCCATGTTATAGCAGGCATAGACCTTGAAAATATTATGCCAAGTAAAAGAACCCATACACAAAAGACCATGTATTGTATGATCCCATTTATAGTAAATGTCCAGAATAGGAAAATCTATATAGAAAGAAAACAGATCACTGGTTGTGAACTGAGGGGGAAATACTGAGTGCCAGATAATGGTTATGGGGTCTCTTTTCAGAAATATGAAAATATTCTGATATTATATAATTGTGATGATTGTACAACATTACCTATGTATACTAAAAATCATTGAATTGTTCATTTTTAAAGAGAA